AGGAGGAGACAGAGAGACAGGATCCCCAACAGGACCTTGTGTCTGTGGCCCACCCCGCCTCAGCCAGCCTCCATCATGGGCTCGTGCCCACATGTGTGTCCACGTACTCGGGGAGGGAACCAGAACCTTCCCATGTGGGTCAGCCTCGCAGGGCATTGCCTTTTACCACTGCGCCCCCGTCAGGCCTTGGGCAGCACTGTCACCTTTCCTTCCCAGCGGGCACCCTGGCCAAGCCTGCCCTGTCCTGGTCTGTGAGGTGCCAACCCCCACTCCCGCTCAGGCTGTCCTCTGGGTAATCGTAAGTGCAGCTCCCCTACCCCAGGCCCTTCAGATGAGAGCGGTCAGCGGGCCATGCTCCCTGTGTGCCCCCATCCCTCCTTCAGGCTGTGGGAGGCAGCTGCAGGCATCCCCCCACTGCCTCTCCTCCCCCCACACTGTCACGCGTGCGCACACCTGCAGTGGTCAGCCAGCCTGTACTGGCCTCTGAGCGCCCTCTGTTGGCATGATAGTGACCGGAAGGGCCTTGCCACCCCTGGCCCTCAGACATCTGGAGGACACTGCCCCTCAGCAGGGCCCCACCGCCTGGACCCCCCTCCGCCTCCATAACAGATACACGGTAAAGCTACCCCTGCCCCTCCACCTCTGCTTGGGGTTCCCACAGCTGAGTAAATATTTTTCCTATCTGTTTGCCTGCATTCATGTTCAGTTACATGTAATAAAAGAAAGCCCCCTCCTTAATCAGCCGCAAAACAAGAGAAAAGACAAAGCGATATTCACAGTGTGAGAATGCTGCTTGTGATTTCCCGAGAGGACAGGCGGATAAGACATCTCGCGTCTCCACAGAGGAGCGGATGTCGAGGTGCGCACCTCTGAGGGTGTGCGCCGGAGAAGGAAAGTGCCCTGTGAGCGTTGGGCTGTTCCGCTCCGGAGGCAAAGGGAAGGTGGTTATCTTGCTCGCCCCTCTTTTATTTGTAAAATCTTTTTTGTCTCCTGGCAGGTGATCGTTTTTTTTTTCCTAGAAACCAATTAGCTACTAAAATTAAACATGCTTCTCTTTAAATTAATCCTTTTCAAAAATGGTCTTAAAATTGGCCTCAGCTTTTCAGAGGAAGTAGCTGACCCAGTTGTAATTGGAGATGCGTTTGGAGCCCCTTCCCCCCACCTC